TTTTTGCGTTGGTTGGTGATTCTCCATTCGTGCTCCTCCCTGGGCTGCCCGGGGTGGGGGGACCATGCAGCTCAGAGCAGGGCAGGGGAGGGGAGGGAGAGGAGGAAAAGCAGCAGGCCGCCCAAGAGGTGGGGAGGGCGGGGTGGGAGGGGCGCAGGGGTGGCTCCTGGGGTAAGGCACAACCCTGTCTTTGGCTCTCCTGGTGAGGAGTTTCCTCCCCTGCACCCCTGCCCGGCCCCTCCCCTCCCCTCCCCCCACCAAACACACAGTCCCGGGAGCCAGGGGCACCTCCTGGGGTCCCTGAAATGAGAGGGCTCTGCCACCCAACCCAGTGCTGCAGGGGCTTGGAGGAGGGACAGGGGCAAGCCCCACCCGAGGACAAGGCAGGGAGGGGCTGGGCAGGGGCCTGTCCAGGACAAAGGGGTGGGGAGGGAGAAGACCCCAGTCCGAGAGAGCTGGCCCCTGCTAAGGCCTGGAAGGAGGGGAGCGCCTAGGGACTCCTTCCTTGTGGGCTCTGGCTGGAGCCCTGGCCGGCCCCTCGGCCTTGGCCGGCCCGGCAGCTTGCCAAGTGACCAGGATATTGTGCTTTGGGATCGATGCTGGGGTAGGATGTCAAGGCCAGGACAAGGGCGTGGGGGAGGTGCGACTAAGGTGCTTGTGCTTTAGCTGGGGCGTCGACTCCCCCCATACACTGGGCCAGCTGAGGGCTAAGGTGCAGGGGCCAGGCCAGGAAAGCAGAGTGCCAGGACCCTGGCCAGACCAGACACCCCCCCCACACCCCCACAATGAGATGTCAGGAGGGACCCCCTCACAGACCGGTGGGGGCTGCTGGGCGGTGGGGGAGGCCTCCAAGTCAGATTCCAAAGGTCCCGTCAGGGCTGGCCAACCCCCGCCCCACCTCTGGCAATCCCCCTGCCTCTAGAAGAGGCCGCTGGGAGCAATGGGAGCAATAGGCCGGTCAGATCGGGGAGGAGACGAGAGGCAGTGGGCGGGGCTAGAGAGAAAATGGTGAAAATTGTGAAGAAAGGACACCCAGTGTGGAGGGGACAGGGAGTAAAAAAAAAAAAAAAAAAGAACCCTCCAGAGTTCACATGTAAAACTCAAAAAAAACAAAACCCCTCGCGCTGGGCGAGGATCTAAAGAGAGGAATGGTTAGAGAAAATTCTGCAAACTGCTAACAATGGAAGCAGGCCCTGCCTCGTCCCCAGAAGCTGGGTTCAGCCAATGGACCAAGGCCAGGGCCACCCTTTAAATGGAGCCCTGCTGGAGAGCAGCGGAGCAAGGGGGGGAACCTGGTCAGACCCACAGGAGGCCAAGCAGAGGCCCGGCCAAGTCCCCACCTCAGAAATGCGCACCCACACTCCACACACACACACACACACATTCAGCCCGCCCCCAGCCCCCACCCCGTCCTGCCTGCCACGTCCCCGGGGACCGAAGGGGACATCAGACACAGTCCCGTTGGTTTGAAAAATAAAAGGAATCTTATACTTCAATATTTCATTAGCTAAAAAAATGCTTTAAAAAGTATGTACAGGAGGCAGGGCGGGGGGTGGTGGGGGGGGGAAGGGCAACAGCCCCCCAGCCTGCTCCCCTGACTTCCAGCCCTGGCCCTACTGCCTCTCATATCTTCATTTGTTTAAAAGCACAACTTCTACACACACACGCGCGCACTCACACGCACACACTTCTGTGAGCCCAGGAAACCTCTCGTTCTATTCGCCGAGACCCTCGGTCTGCCCCCAAGAGCCCCCGACTCGGGACCTGCCCCTCTCAGGCCCCAGGAGACAGATGGGGGCAACAGAGGTGGGCACGGGGTGGGGGAGAGAGAAGGGCACTGGGCCCGCCACCGCCCACCACCTTAGGTCAATGGTGGAGTTCCTCTGAGCCTCGGTTCCCTCAGCTGTGAAATGGGCAGTCTCCTCAGCCTCGCCTACCCCAGCCCCCAGGCGCAGGGACAGACGAGGGAGACAGGAAGGCGCTTTTGGAAACATGGAAGCACTGGGAGGTGGTGGCAGGAGGGGTCCTGAGAACCCTGGGGCCCCTGCAAGTCCCAAGGGGGTGCAGCAAGGGGCCCAGGGCCTGGGGAGGGGGCCTTCCTGAGCCCCCCAGGCCGGCCCCTCCCCACACCCGGCCTGGTGAGTGGGGAGACCACAGCTGGGGGTTAGGGGAGGGGGAGCGGAGGCCCCCCGACGGTGCCCGAGCGCACAAGAGAGGCAGCGCAGAGCCCGCACCAGCTGCTGCCCTCTCCTAGCCGCTCAGATGGGGGTCGGAGAGTGGGATGGGGAGGCAGAGGGGCTGGGAGCATGCAGCGCCCCCCGCGGGTCCTGGGGAGGGACAGACAGTAGCTCGTGACCAAGATGGTGGGCGGGTGTGACGGGGGGGGGGGAAGGGAGGGGAGTGTGACGGCCCCGCGGGGAGGGTCCGGTGGTAGTTACTGGAGGGCCTCGGCCGAGGGGCCGGCCTCGCCGTCGTGGCTGGCCGTCTCGAAGCTGTGCTCCACGCCCATCATGTCCGGCTCTATCTTGCCCGTGTCGCTGATGAAGGTGGTGTAGGCGTCGCCCTCGGCCATGAGCACCTTGAGCTTGGGGATCCAGCTCTTCCGCACAACGCGGCGGGCATTGGTGCACATGTCAGCTGCGATGGCGTTCATCTCGCTTTCCTTGAAGTTGGGAGCGAAGTTCTGGCAGTAGTCTGAGGGCAGAGTCGATGGCTCAGGCACAGCGTGGCCCTGGCCTCTCACCTTGACGACAGACACTCGGCCACACTGCTCCTTGATCCCCAAACACACGCACACACACACGCACGCGTGCGACACCTGAACCCCCCTCAGAGGTGATGGAATGGAGGACTCGCAAGCCAGGACGCTAAACCACATCAGTTGGCCCCATGCCTGACTGAGCTCGGCCACGCATGGGGATTGAGAGGGTGGCCCAGTGCTCTTGAAAAACCTGGGTCATTTGCCAGAATTTAGGAATGGGAAGGTGCCACGTGAAAACCCAGACTTCCCTCCGACAAATGGCTGGGGCCTGGCTGCTTCATCGCTCCCATGACTCCCAAAGGACCACCCCCACCCAACCAGGAAGAAATCTCTAACCCATCCCAGCCCTCTTCCCGACAAGTCCAGACTGCGCCTCAGAATCCTTCTTAACACTACCCCCCGCCCCACCTATCAGCGAAGAGGGCCATCTGCCTGGCCCAGGCCCCGCCCCAGCCTGACTCCAGAAGGCCAGACACTCACACTTGACAGCGTGCAGGACGCGACTGTCCAGCGGTTTGCGGCTGGGGTTGTTGGAGGAAGAGCGGATGCCAGTGCCACAGCTGTTAGCCAGCGTGTTCCTGAGGTGGGGGGCACAGGGGAGGGGAGTCAGGCCCCCTGCGGCGGGGGGACCGGGGGCAGCCCCCCTCCCCTCCCCTCCATCCGGGCTCTGTGGCGGCCTCACCGGTCAAAGAAGGAGGCCAGGAGGCGCCGCAGCAGGACCTTGTGCCGCGTGCCCGCGCTGACGTGGCAATTCATGAGCTGCGCCCTCGTGATGTACACGTTGGTGCCTGGAGTGGGGAGCAGGAGGGTGGCCGGGGGCCCCAGACTGCCACGTTCCCCACTTGGCCAGGCCCTGGCCTGGGCCCGGCCAAGACGCTCCCTGACAACTCGCCCCAGCATGGCCTCGTCAGCGATCAGGAAAGGACAGCTGGTGGTGCCACTGTCCACGGGGCACCTACAACATGCTGAGCCCTGCTTGCGCATGTGTGGCTTTTGCCCACACAACCACCTGGGCATCAAAAAGAACAGGCAGTGGAAGCTCACACCAAGGCATCCTGACACCAAGAGCCGAGATCCTTAACCACTCTGTCAACCCTCCAACCACCCTATGAAGCCGTTCATCTCCCCGTGTGGCCAACGATGCCAGCCAACGCTCATACCAGCCTCTGGGGTGGAAACCTGGAGGCCAGTCTCTGGCACGTATCAGTGCCAAGTGGGGGGGGGGGTCAGCTGCCCTAGGACACAGCCAGTGGGTGGCAGCAGGGGTGGGGTTGGACCCCAAGTCTCTGGCTCCTAACCACCACCCCACAAGCCACTGGCTCGGAGGGCACAGAGGCCCAACATGGGAGGAAGCGGGGAATCTGGGCAGGAAGTGATGCTGGCCCACCTGTCACCAGCTCCAGCTTCTCGGAGGGGTCACCCTCATCGTAGAGCTTGGGGTGGCAGCGGTTGCCAATCTGGTTGATGAGCTCAGCTGGGAGAGACGCCAGGTCTTGCCGTACCCGGATGCGATTCCGGGACTCGGGGGCCACCTGCTCGGGGAGGGCCTCCACCTTCTCG